TATATCATGTTGTACTATCATTTATAAGTGCATTAGTAGGATTTTGGCAAATATACTTAAAAATATCCTACCAAATATCATAAGAAAAAGCTAAAGTGCTTTTATAGAAAAGAGGAGCATCATAAACAATGTGCTTATAGCACAGAAAATGGTAAAAAGGTATGGTAGAACCACATTATCCCCAAAGTGTGTTACAAAGGTTGATTTGCAAAAAATTTTTGATACATTGAATTAAAATTTTATCCATAAAATTTTGGTAGCCATTGGATTGCCTTCAAAATTTATAGGCTGAATCAATAATTGTATTACAACCCTAATGTCTTCTATATCATCTAATGGAGGGCTAGTGGGTTATTTTCAAGGAGCTAGAGGAATAAAATAAAGGGATCCACTTTTCCCTTATCTGTTTACTTAAACAATGAATGTGTTGTCAATAATGTTAGTTGAAGCTGCCAAGTTTGAAGTGTTTGCCTATCATTTTAAGTGTAGGAAGATCAAGCTGACACATTTATGTTTTGCAAATAATTTGTTAATTTTTGCAAAAGGAAGCAAGGATTCAATTATTGGTGTCAAGGAGTTTATGCAGGCTTTTTACTTGTTCTTAGGGCTGCAACTTAATTGTGAAGAGAGTGAGATATATGCCACAAGAATAGGTAAGGAAAAGATCCAATCAATTTAACAAGCCATATGATTCAAAGTAGGCTCACTCTTTCTTAAATACCTAAGAGTTCCACTGATCACCAGAAGACTCACCACAAAAGATTATGCTCTATTACTTGAAAGGATCACAACTAGGATTAAATGATGGACTAGTAAGCACTTATCTTATGTTGAAAGACTACAACTAATCCAATCAGTACTTTTTAGCTTACATAATTATTGGTGTAAACACTTTATATAGCCTAAGCATATGTTAAAGAAGATCAATTAGCGATGTTCTAACTTCCCTTAGAAAGGCTAAAAGGGGATTGCCAGAGAGGCTAAAGTCAGTTGGGAAACCATTTGCCACCCTAAGTCTGAAAGAAGGTTAGGTATCCAATACACACTAACTTGGAACATGGCATGCATGATGAGAAACATTTGGTCTATTTTTTCAAAAACAGGATCTATGTGGATAGCTTAGATTAAAACTTATGTCTTGAGGCAGAAGTATATGACAAGTTGTACCACAACAGGGTAATAGTTGGGGCTGGAGAAAACTACTTCAACTTCTGACTATTGCATGCCAATTCATCAAACAAAAAAATGGTGTTGAGGTGTGGCTTGTCCCTAACAATGGCTGTTTTGTTGCAATAGTTTAGAATGAGATAAGATATAAGCAAAGAAATGTTACGTGGCATAAATTAATACGGTTTCAGTATCATATCCTGAAACACTCAATTATTGCATAGATGACTATACTAAACAGGTTTCTAACAAAAAAATAGGTTGAGAAATTGGAGAATGGAGGTGGATGAAAAGTGCTGCCTATGTCAACATGAAAGGGAATCTAAGAACCACCTATTTTTTGGTTATAAATATGCAAAAATGGTGTGGAGAGAAGGGCATTACGGTCATACAGGATTGATAGAGTAGTCAAAGAGTGAATTGAAAACTGAAATGGGTAGTGACAAGGACAAAAGGTAAGGCATTGATATCAATAGTATTATGTATTACTTGAAATGTTCATATATACCATATATGGAGAGAAAAGAACTACAAATTATTTAAGAATAAAGAAAGAATAAAAGAACAAGTGTATGAACGGATTAAAGAAGCTATCAGGACTCGATTACATAGATTGCATTTGATTGTTGCTGACTCAGTCAACAAGAATTTGTACGATGCTTGAAATATAAATAAAGTTTTATTGCATAATAATTAGAATATGATTTGATTGTATATATGGAATGAATGTATTGTAGCAATTTAATGCTTCTTTAGGTAAATAAAATACAACTTATCCAAAAACAATAAAAAATAAAAATGTTTATAAAAAAAATTCCTGATTCTATCAATCTGTTTTAGGGTTGAAGAGTAAATTTACCAACATATTATAATTGGATATTAAAATTTATTACTGTATTTTGATTTGATTAAATTTTCCATTGTATTTTTTATCACCCAATGATAGTTTGACATATTGTGCTAATTAATGTCAATTTTTAGCAGTTGTTTACTTATAATATATATATATATATATATATAATTATTGATAGATTTATCAATTTTATGATGTTCAGAAAAATTTTTTACAATTTTTTGCCATTTTTAGGGGTATCCATAAAAAATTTAAAGACTGTCTAATAAAAAATTTTCTTTTAAATTTCGTTATTTTTTAATTTTGGAGCATTAAATGTGGCTTGCAACTTGATTAACCCTAGTACAATGAAATAAAAGTTTATAACCTTAATTACTTATGGTGTTTATGTTGAATTTGTTTGTTCTAATTGCATCCAAAAAGAAAAATGTACACCAATCAAAGCAAGCAATATTAGAGTGAACTCTAGGGTTAAGTGTCTGAGCACAAACCTAATTATATCTCAAAAGATTTAAAAAAAAAAGAAGAAAAAGTTACGTATAGTTTGATGAGAATGGTGTTAGGCTAAAAGTCTCAAATTCAATCACAACAGCAGAAGTAAAATCAAACAATAAATCAAACACACAAGAGATAACAATTTAACGTGATTCGATCTAACTGACCTACATCCACGGATGAGAAACAAGATCCACTAGTTGTAGAGAATTACAAACTTATATCAAATTATCAATCTCACTCAACAATCAATACTCATAAGACACTCTCAATCTTCTCTAGTCCTATGAAGTATTCTTAACCCAAACAAATACAAACATAAACCCAAACCCTTGTGCACCCTTTCAATATAACCAAACACATACCCATATGCTCCCATACATCATACATATGTGGACTTTCTCAGTCTTCTCTAGTCCACTCACAAACAAACATACACACTCATAAGACGTAGAGCCCCAATACTCCTATGAGGTATCTATCCCACAAAATCTTACAACTCTCTTACATTTTTTTCTTATATCTAACACTGTAGAGACTTCACTTATTTATAACCATACAAACTTATCCATTAAGAATCTCTCTCCTCTTAGAATTCTTCTCGTGTAAGTTAAACTTGCCTATTAAGAATTCATTTTCTTTTAGAATTTTTCTCTTGCAAGTCAAACTTACCTATTAAGAATCCTCTTTCTCTTAAAATTCTTCTTTTGCAAGTCTTTTTATCCATCCAGCAATATCTAACAAATCTCAAACAAATCCCAAACAAATCTCTTATGAGATTTGAGTCAATATTCCTAACAATCTTCACCTTGACTCATATTCTATCAAATCATCTATCTTCATGCTAGACATGTTTAGCTCCACCTGTAATGGAAGTTTGACAATCATCTTCTCTTCTTTTGTGTTTTCATGCTTCATACAAACCAATCCTCAATCTTCAAAACTTAAACTCGAACTCTTCTCTTGAATCGAGCTTTTCTGGACTTGCTTCTTATCATGTCTCAAACCATGCACTTTTCACATCTTAAACCTTTAACTCTTCTCACATCTTGAACTTTTAGCTCTTTATTGTCTCGAACCTTCGGTTCTTTTCACATCTTGAATCTTCAACTCTTCTCACGTTTCGAACATTCAGCTCTGATATCACTTATTGGGGAATACCACAACTCTGATACCATTTGTTGGACTAAAAGCCTCCAATCCAATCACACCAGCGAAAGCAAAATCAAACAATAAATCAAACACACAAGAGACAACAATTTAACTTAGTTCGATCCAACTGACCTACATCCACGGATGAGAAACAAGATCCACTAGTTGTAGAGAATTACAAACTTATATCAAATCATCAACCTCACTCAACAATCAATACTCATAAGACACTCTCAATCTCCTCTAGTCCTATGGAGTATTCTCAACCCAAATAAACACAAACCCAAACCCTTGTGCACCATTTCAACATAATCAAATACATATTCATATGCTCCCATACATCATATCTATGTGGACCCTCTCAGTCTCCTCTAGTTCACTCACAAACAAACATACACACTCATAAGACGTAGAGCCCCAATACTCCTATGGGGTGTCTATCCCACAAAACCCTACAACTCTCTTACATTTTTTTCTCATACCTAACCTTATAGAAGCTTCACCTATTTATAACCATACAAACTTACCCATTAAGAATCTCTCTCTTCTTATAATTCTTCTCTTGTAAATTAAACTTGCCTATTAAGAATCCCTTTCTTTTTAAAATTCTTCTCTTGCAAGTCATACTTACTAATTAAGAATTTTCTTTCTCTTAAAATTCTTTTTTTGAAGTCTTCTTGTCCATCTAATAATATCTAACAAATCTCAAATAAATCTCTTATGAGATTTGAGTCAAGTAACAAATGTAATGACGTTGCAAGAAAAACAAACAATATATATATATATATATATATATATATTGAAAATTTTCCAAATTTGCGTTGTTGGACAGTGAAGTTATAAAAGAAAAAAAAATTGATAAAACTTCTTCCTTATATATATATATTGAAAATTTTCAAAATTTGCATTGTTGGACAGTGAAGTTATAAAAGAAAAAAAAAGTTCGATAAAACTTCTTCCTTACATATTTGGTTCAGAATATAGAATGAAATCATGTAGCAAAACTAGCGAATGAAAATAAGTCATTAAAGCTTACGGTGCCATCCACTGTATTAAGCCTCATTTGGGTTGAATCAAATATTTCCGTCAACAATCTCTTCATCAAGTAAAACCCTTTGCATCTTACATTCCATATGATTAACAAGAAAGGTTTTCAACCTGAGGACCTAATTTTTTGTGCCAAAACCTATCTCTGTCAACACCATCAACAATCCTGGTTTTCACTTCATCTGCATTTTAACCATTTTCTACTGCCAGTGATGATTTTTACATTTTTTTTATTTCCCTTTTACCAGTCTATGGAGTCAGATATCTCTAGGTTCTTTCTCTATATGCCTTTCAATTAGTGCAGAATATCAAGCAGAAGCAGTATTTCAGTCCCTCACAACTTTCCTTCCATCGTCTTCTAGCTCATTACTGGCAGAATGAGCGGCATCAGCTTCACTGCCGGCATCCTCCTTCACAGGAACCCTTAGCTCTGAAGCACTGTTAGTACCATGGGATGAGGATGGATCAGGCAAATCAATATTTCAGGCCCCTGGTCCCTGTAAATATACTTGAGGGGATTACTGAAGATGAAAATTGTTTCCTTTACAGATTGGATGGATTTATGGGTTAGTCACAGAAGATATTTTAACAGGTTTCAAGATGCACTGTAGAGGATGGAAGTCAGTTTACTGTGTACCAAAATGACCAGCATTCAAAGGGTCAGCTCCAATCAATCTATCAGATCGTTTGCACCAAGTTCTGAGATGGGCACTCGGCTCTGTAGAAATTTTCCTCAGTCGTCATTGCCCACTTTGGTATGGCTATGGTGGAGAACTGAAATGGCTGGAGAGGCTTGCTTACATCAACACTATCGTTTACCCTTTCACTTCGATCCCTTTGCTCGCATATTGTACCATTCCTGCGATTCGTCTCCTGACTGGAAAATTTATCATCCCAACTGTAAGTATTATTGGAGATTGCCTGGTAAAACGTTCTGAAATCAGATTTTTATTCCAAGAACCTGATTCTTTAAGCTTGACCATTTTGTTTTCTTTGCAGCTGAACAATCTTACAAGTGTACGGTTCTTGGCAGTTTTCCTTTCCATCATAGCAACTGGTGTGCTTGAACTTCGATGGAGCGGAGTTAGCATCCAAGACTGGTGGCGCAATGAATAATTCTGGGTGATTGGTGGTGTCTCTGCACATCTTTTTGCTGTCTTCCAAGGCCTCCTCAAAGTCCTTGCTGGAGTTGACACCAACTTTACTGCAACAGCAAAAGCCGCAGATGATACCGAGTTTGGCGAGCTTTACCTCTTCAAATGGACCACCCTCCTAATCCCTCCAACAACTCTAATAATATTGAACATGGTGGGAATCGTGGCTGGGGTTTCTGATGCTATTAATAATGGTTATGGTTAATCGGCAAGCTATTCTTCGCCTTCTGGGTCATTCTTCAGCTCTATCCTTTCCTTAAAAGTTTGATGGGAAAGCAAAACAGGACTCCAACCATTGTTGTATTGTGGTCTATACTTCTTGCATCAATTTTCTTACTGGTCTGGGTTTGGATTGATCCTTTCTTGTCCAAGCAAACAGGTCCTGTCCTCAAACAATGTGGTGTGGAGTGCTGATGCGTTATAATCTTTCTCATTATTTCCTTTTGGCTGTATGCCACTATTGTTTGCCTTGATTCTCCAAATCTTTTCGAACGTTTTGAATGAATTTATATTGTGTATAAAGTCACTTAAGATGTTTGTAATGCAAGAAAGGGTGTGATTGACCAATACAAGCATGTAAGATCTTTATTATAAACAAAACAAATTGCCTACTTACTCCATAAATTGTACAAGGTGACTACCTTTCCAGAACTCCATTGTAGTCGCAGGTCAATGGCACATTTTCCAAGGTAAGTGGACAGTATATATTGCAGGAGCTAATGTTCCCACTTAAGTCAAAAGTCAATTTCTGACCAGAGAAAAAAAAAAAACTTTGTAATAAGGGCTATACTAATTCTTACTCTACTTAAAAAACAATGCAAAGACTGAAGTTTTCGCACTAAAAAAGTAAGGGTTATGTAACAAAAATGTTGAATATTGCTCTTGCAATTTGATAATTGGTAGTTGAAGCATGGAGGAAAAGTAGAGCCAGTGAAAATTGGTCCCCAGTCTGGCGTCAACCCAGGACTGCTCTGCAGCCAACACGTTCTGAACTTTTGAATTCCAATCTCTTGTTGGATATGGGTTATAATGAAACAAATACACTGTAACAGAAGAAAAATACGGTACAAGGCACAAGCATATTACTTTACGTAACAAAAATGTACTAAAAACTGGCTGCTAAATTAACTACTGGTATTTGCCTCCCCAGATTGAAAAACTCCTATTTTTTGTGTCTTTGTTCTATTTCTGGAAGCTAGATAGTTTGCTAATAGTTATTGCTCCCAGTGGCTCACCCAAGCAGGCCTGTGTTCTTGCTGATAATTCTTGTGCCACAAAACGCATTGTTGGTCGTGACTCGGGTACGGAACGTATGCACGCTAAGCCTAAGGTGACAACAAATACAATGTCCTCTGCTATTTGGTCAGTGGGAGGTGGAAGTCGTTGGTCCATGAGATCCTTCAGAAGCAATTCTTTGTTGTTTGATAACAACGCCACTGATGACAGGGAATTCAAGAGCTCCCCTGGGTGCTTTCCCATCATAATCTCTAATGCCACCACTCCAAAGCTGTAAACATCGCAATTTGTTGTGACCCGCATTGTGAGTGCAAGCTCTGAAGACCAAGAAATTAAACAAAGTCAGCAATCAAATTACAATGGAAAACTAAGAAGAAAAAAAAGCTACTGCCAATTTACCAAAGCATCATCTAATGAAACATAGTTAACTAAACTGTTTACTAACCTGGTGCCATGTACCCATAAGAACCAGCAACTGTGGTCCAGTTGGATGAATTTGGATTCAACAACCTTGCAGTGCCAAAATCCGAGAGCTTTGGCTCGTATTCTTCTTCAAGCAGAATGTTATTCAAAGTTATGTCTCGGTGAATAATAGGTGGAGAGCAATCATGATGCAAGTAAGCAATTGCATGAGCTAATCCTTGCACAATTTTCACCCTTGTAGCCCATCCTAACTCCACTTCCTTTTGTGATCCATATAATACACGTCCCAAACTACCTCTTTCCACATGCTCATAAACCAAGTATATGCCACCCCCTTTAGAGCAGTATCCATACAACTTTATGATATTCCGATGCCTAATTTCTGTCAACATATGAATCTCATTCTCAAAACTCCTGAGGTTTGTTACTTGAATATCGCTGGAATCTGACAAATTGAGTTTTTTAACTGCAACAACTTCACCTGAGGGCAATACTGCTCTGTAAACGCTTCCAAATCCTCCTTTCCCAATGCAGTACTTATCAGCAAAGCCTTCTGTGGCTTTTTCAATGTGACTAAATTTGAATTTTCCTTCTCTTTCCCAAATGGTAGACTCAGAAACATCAGTCCTTTTACTACCTTTAATCTCCTCATCAAGCATTTTGCTTTGCCTGTGACAAAGAAACACTCCAGCAGCAATTGCTGCTAGAATTAATATGCCACAGATGGGAACAATGATAGCGATAAGAACATTCTTGGTGTTGGACTTGTTCTTTGTGGGACTAGAAATGCAAGGAGTTAATCCTTCAGCATCTCCACACAAACCTGAGTTTCCAACAAAAGCATTTCCAGAAGCTTTTTGGAACACACCACCACTTGGAATCGGGCCTGTTAATTCATTGTAGGAGAAATCAAATGAATGGAGACTAATCATGTTGGACAATGAAGTCGGGATTCTGCCTGAGAGATCGTTACGTGAAACGTTTAGATATTCCAACGATGCTAGCTTCCCTAGGTCTTGAGGGATTGAACCTGAGAGTGAATTGCTGCTGAGATCCAGCAAGTACTTCAAAACTGATAAGCTACCTATTTCTCGTGGAATTTCACCAGATAAATTGTTGTGGCTCAAGTTCAAGCTCAATAACCTGCTATAATTCTCAACTGCTCGTGGTATTTCTCCTGCCAATTTGTTCCCCGATAGATCAAGGTACTCTAAACTCACCAAGTTGCCCACAATCTGAGGGATTTCACCTGTCAGATGATTCTGGCTCAAATTGAGGTTGAACAACTTGCTCAAGTTTCCCAGTTCCAAAGGGATATCTCCGGTCAACGCATTGACCCCCAGGTTCAGAACACGCAACTGACTCAACTTCCCAAGCTCAGCAGGAATTCCACCAGAAATTCTGTTTCTGTCCATTTGTAGATTGGTGAGTTTTTGGCATTCTCCCCACTCTGGCGAGATTTCACCGGTAAATTGATTGTCACTAAGATCAATAAAGTCAAGATTAGGATGAACTCCAAATGCAATGGTGATGTTAGCAGTAAATTGGTTCCCATCAAACCGGACTCTTTTTAGCCCTGTACAGTTCCTCAAGCAAGCTGGCAATGACCCTGTGAACATATTTTCATTAACCGTGAAATTTTCAAGGGCAAGACCACTGCACAATTCAGGCGGCAATTGTCCAGAGAAGCTGTTGTTGGAAAAGCTTACATAATTCAACTGAGGACTATTCTTCCCAAAATCCCGAGGAATGCTACCCGAGAAATTATTCGTGAACACGGAGAATGCTAATATGCTAGTGAGGTTAGAAATTGTGTCCGGTAATTTCCCATGAAAGACATTTGTGTTGATATCAAGAGACTGCAGGGATGTCATTTTTCCAACCTCTGGTGGAATTGTGCCGCTAAGATTATTATAGAAAAGCTGTAAACCTTCAAGGTTTGAAAGATTCCATATAGTAAGAGGAATTGGACCCGACAGCTGATTTCCAGAAAGGTCTAAAGTTTTCATGGAATTCAAGTTTCCAATCTCTGAAGGAATCGAGCCAGAAAGTTTATTGTTATAGAGAAAGAGGAAGCGGAGCTTTGTCAATTGGCCTATTTCTGGTGGAATCCTCCCTGTGAAAAAATTGTTTTGAAGTTGCAAAGACGTCAAGTTGGTCCAATTAGAAATGAGAGATGGTGGGATCTCGCCTTCAAGAGAATTTTCAGATAAACCCAGGTCAGTTATTTTTGTAAGTTGTGACAAGGAGATTGGCAACTTCCCACTCAGTTGATTCCCAGCTAAGGCCAAAAAGGTGAGGTTAGTACAAGAACCAAGCTCGGATGGGATTGTAGAATTTAAGTCATTCGAGTGAAGATCAAGTTTCTTGAGCTTTTTTAGTTGGCCCAAAGAAGATGGAATATTCCCTTCAAACGAATTTTCAAGCAATTCAATTGTTTCAAGATCAGACATGGCTCCTATACTCTCAGGAATTGAACCATTCAACTTATTGGTTCCTAGTTGAAGATCTATGAGTTTTGAAAGCTGGGAAATGTTTGACGATAATGATCCTTCAAAGGAATTACTTGAGAGATTGAGACACTCAAGCTTGCTCAGACTGGTGTACAAAGATTCTGGTATTGGACCAATCAATCTATTCAATGACAAATCTAGGAAAGTGAGATTATGACAGTTGAGTATAAATTGAGGGAATTCCAATTGAAGTTCATTGTAAGCTAGGCTGAGGTGTGTCAACAAAGGCATGGCCATGAAATTGGACGAGTCAGAAGAAACAAAGTAGTTGTATCCAAGGTCGAGGTACCTTATATTTTGGAGATTGCTAACTTGATGAGGAATGATGCCACTGAGATTGTTGTTGAATAGACTCAGATATTGAAGCTCTGATAGACGACCCATCTCCAGCGGTATGTTTCCTTGAAAAGAGTTGTTGCTCAAATCCAAGAAAATCAGCTTGGTCAAAGTACCAATGGCGGACGGTATTCGCCCATTCATAGTGTTATTCATGAGGTCAAAGCGCGTGAGATTGGCAAATGGAGTGAAATTGAATTGAGCGATGGAACCAGACATGTTTGCATTGGATAAGTTGATTTCTGAGACTGTTTCACTGCCGTCGCAGGTAATGAGAGTCCAGTTACAGAGGTTGTTGAGATTAGACAGGGACCAAGAATTGAGAGAAGGTGGCGAAAACAACAAGCTGTTCTTCCATTGGACGAGTGCTTCCGCTTGTGTTCTTGCTGAACAGGTGATCTTCAATGGAAGCAAAGAAAGCATGACAACATGGAAGAGAACAAGACAGGGATTTGGAAAAGTCGACATGCTTTTAAGTTGGGTTGAGTTCAGAAATATTTCAGATGAACTTTCTTATAGACAAGAGAAAGGCATATATTTTCCGCGTGAACATTCAATTTCCAAGTCTTCTTCAGGCTCCATCAATTGCTGTCGCCCAATACTCCTTAATCAATTAACTATGGACCAAATGCTGCATCCCCACTAATATTTTGATGACCGGAGCATAAATTTGATTTGAGAAGGTGATTCGAGGTCACCATATGCCCAGTGTCATGGTTAGGCCTTGGTGTGCCTTAGTCTTACCATGATTGCTCCGATACAGAGTAGCGGACAAAACCTAGTCCATGGGATGGTGATCCTTGATTAAGTGTTCAGCCAACTAGGGGCTTTGGAGCAAGTTTGGTGCAGGCACCCTGGAGTTTGTTAGTTGATCTGGTGTTCTCAGTTGGAGCTGGGTGTGGGCACCTTCGAGTGGGTTGGTGGAGCAACGAGTAGAATCCTAGCATTCTTGCAAGCAAGGGAAAGATTACGGGACCTTGAGTTGGTTGAAGTTGGTCATAAGTTGGTTGGGGAGAAGAGCATTCCCATTTCAAACATTGTTATAGTTTCTGGTAGCATAGATGTGAAAGCTTTTATGCTTTTTATAAATGGACATTGGTGTAAATTCTCCACCACCCATTTGGGTAGTAGGTAAGCAAGGGCCTTGCTAGTCTAAAGTGAGCTACTTCTAGGTACATGTGGTGTCTAGGTGAACGGATATTATCGGGACATGAATGTGGCATGGTGTCTCATCGAGTCATGGTTGACGAGCCTCATATCGCACCTTTATGTTAAACCATGAAGTTAGATGGTAGCATTTCTTAGGCCCTTCTGTTTCCCTTTCTTGAGCTGGTTGGTGAGTTAAGCCTCATGCAGCTCTATGTTAGCTGTAGACCAGCACTTGTGTTGTGCCTCAAGGTTTCAAGCATGAGAGTTTCGGATAGTCCATGTGGACATGGTGTTGATTTCTCACCATACTAGATTGCTATACTATAATGAGAATAGGGCTACATGCCCTTATGTGAATTCAAGTATGGTTGGTGCTTGGGACCTTAATACCTACAAGCCTAGATGGGTGCTTAAAGCCACCCTAAAACTTATAGGCTGATGATGCAATAAGAGTTGGGTTCCTCTTTTGATAAGTTTAGGAATGATGAATGCAACCCTATGGGTCAGAGCCAAAAAGGGCTTTTGTGAATGTGGCTTGAAGGATCGATAATGAGTTGTCCTTGAGGAAATTGACTCATGAAAAGCTAACATCGACTATGAGTAGTCTTGGTGCTGCATGATCTTGTGATTTCAGTTTAAAGAATGTGCGGTTCGTAAGATATGGTATCAGAACCAAAGTTAGACTCAGTTGTGGGACTAAGGCAGCCATAATTGGGTGCATCATAACAATAGATTGAGACGATGCTAAGCTTAAAGAGAGCTATCGAGGCTAAAATGCAATAGTGTAGCTATGTGGGCTTGGGAATGAGCTAGCAATTCGTGCTGTGGGAAAATTTACCTCGATACAAGGCTTTCGAGCAAGCTCTTGGATGCCAAGCGAAAAGGTACGAGAGTCTAGCCTCACCAATCGAATGGTATGGGCTTGTGTAAACATGTAATGCCCTTCAAAGTATGATCATTTATAAGTTCCAATGGCAAAATCAGACACACTTTAAAATGGTGTTGAGTAAGGGCATATAGGTTGAATGAGTCTTATCTTGAGGGACTTGAATTATGCTATTAAAATGATGTTACTAACTTACGCACTTAGTTTTGTGTTGTAGGTACCCTAGCAGGGGTACGAGATGAGTATTCAAGTTCCAAGCATGGAGTCATTATGTAGGGGTATATGAGCTTAAGTTGGCTTATAATTGAAGCCATGAGTTTATGATGGTCAGTAGACCATGAGTTATGATGGTCGACGGATTATGAGAATGTGTTGATCATTGGACCAATTGAGTTTGTGTAGGTTAGTAGACTATATTTGTGCTAATCAAGAGGGATGATCTTATGAGTTGTAGTGGTCAACAGACCATAAGGTTTTTAGTTTAGTGAAGCAAGTAAGTGAAACTTTACTAGTGGATAAAGCCATATGAGTTGTGTTGGTTAAAGGATCGATCGAGTTGAACAAGTCGATAAACTTGGTATTTCAAGTTAGATCTCGTCAACAAATTAGAAGAGTTAAGTAAGGCAATGGATAAGCCAATTGTGATTAAACCACATATGGGATAATTTGAGTAGATGTTAGTTAATGAGAGTGGCCCAGAATTCAAATAGGTTGACAGACCTTAAGTATCGAGTGGTTGGTAAATTTTAAGATTAAACAGGTCGAAAGACTTTATGATTGGAGTGGATTAGTAGATCCTTGACATCGAATGGGCTTAGGTGGTGCCCTTATCCAATATGGTGCCAATGTAAAATGCATACAGGCTAAAAGTACATAAAAGCATGAGTATGTGGAACCATTGTTAAAACATGGTTGTGGGCAGAGTCAAGCTTAAGTAAAAGTGAAAGAGAATCACAATTGCCTATGAAACTAAGCCAAGGTAGTGAAGCCTACAAGATATTTGAGTATGTGATTGAGTTCGAGACAGTGACAATTAGGTGTTGCCATAATGGCTAGTTAGCCAGAAGGCCACACTTAGAAAGGTGACTTTAGAGAGGTCGAGAGGATCCAAGTTGAAAAATGACCAAAGTGATTGAATACCACCATGTTAGGGTTAATTGTGGGTGGTGCCACATGAGTGTGGTTGATCGCACCATATCTAGAAAGGTACATCAAAGAATAGGTGTCATAAGTATACAATTGGTTTGATAGGTAATGTCCAACGGGGTGCATCATTAAAGGACAAAATAGGTCAGTCATTGATTCAACTAAAGGTCATGATCAATGAGGGTACCTCAAGGTAACGACTTATGAGTATGAGTGAAGCAGTGCAGTGGCACATATGAGTAATGGATCGAGTCTGATGGTCAAATATGGAAAAAGCATAATAGGTGCAGTGAAGCTAGGATGAGACCCCTTTACATTGGCAATGAACGAGTATTGTGGGCGGTGCTTTATGTGACAGGATCACGACCCAATCTTTGAGGACACAAGTGAGAGACATGTGAGCAAATGTTAGTTTTGAGTAATAAAAGAGTTAGGTGTGGTCTTAACATCAATTAGGGCATCGACATAGTAATTGGGAGAGAATGTCATGGTCATGCTATAATGTGCCTTGATCTTGCCATGATTGCTTTGATACAGAGTAGTAGCATAAGATGGTGATCCCTGATTGAGTATGCGAGCAAGCATGGGCCTTGATACAGGCATCTTGGAACTTGTTAGGTAGTTTGGTGCTTCCATTGAAGATAGGTGCTGGCACCTTCGATTAGGTTGGTGGAGTAATGAGTGGAATTCTAGCATCTTTATGAGTAAGTGAAAGATTACGGGGGCCTAAATTGGTTAAAGTTGGCTGGAGAAAAAGTATCCCCATTTCAAACATTGTTACAGTTCTTAGTAGTATAGTTATGAAAGTTCTTACACTCTTTATAAGGAGATGCCTGGTGTTAGCTTTTCACCATCCCTTTGGCTAACAGGCAAGTAGGGGTTATGCTAGTCTAAAGTGAAATACTCTTAGGCACATGTGGTGTCTAGGTAGACAAGTATTGTTGGGTCATGATTATGGCATGGTATCTCATAAGGTCATGGTAAATTTAGAGATGATTAAGGTCGATAGGTCTCATATCGCACCTTTATGTTAAACTGTAGGGTTAAACGGTAGCATTTGCTATACCTCTCGATTTCCCCTCCTTGAGCCGAATCGATAAGTAACTAAGGATCATGAAATGGTATTTGTGTAGGAAGAGTACCAATGAGCCTAAAAAAAAATGGGTTAGTAGACAAACACGCTGTTAGACCTTATTATTACTCGATAGCTCAGGTAAGAGTGTGCAGCGACTAAGGTAGCACACTCGAGCAACTTAATAAGGCATGAGCATAATGTTGGGTGTCTATCACGTGAGCAGGCAACTTAAAGCATGATTAAGGGGCGAGGCCCCAAGATGTAAGCTTTATGGTTGGTGAGTTGAGTCTCGTGTGGTTCTAGGTTGGCTATAGACTAACACTTGTGTTGTGCCATAAAGTTCCAGACATGAGAGTTTTGGATGGTCATACAGGGTATGGTGTGTTAGAAAAAATAAATATAAGAATAGAAATAATGGAAAAGAATTTTAGCTTTGAGGCGTGAATAATACTTTTTTAAAAGCAATCATGCCTTTAGATACAATAAAACCTCAAACTCTCTTATCAAAAGTAGTAAATATAGTTATATTAAAATATCTATTTATAATGAATAAGTAGACATAAACTTCTATTCAAATAATTATGACCTTTTGTATAATTATGACCTTTTGTATAATCATAAACTTTATGAATAATAATCTATTTATATTCAAATAGTTATAACCATTTGTCAAAGATAATTATTTCTGTTCAAACATAATTATTTAAAATATGAATAACATTAATACAAAAATTAACTTTACTCATCAATAATTAAATCTTCTTATCCAATATGGGATGTATCACATTCTAAACTACCAATAATCTCCCACTAATTTGGAATGTTGAAGCTTAATTTTTAAGCTTTCACACAAATAAATATTATAAATACAAGAATGTATCTCTCGATTTAAACCTTTAATTAGTGTTTATATCATAAAAATCTAATGAAATTGACGGTGTCTGCAGATTAAACCTCAACTCTTTGTGTTAGAATTGAAGATATAACACATATAATATTTATTTATTCTTTTGTTAGAGATTTATAATTGCTTTAGCACTATTATGATCATATGCTTATCCTATTCATAAACATTTACAAGAGAGACCCTAATTTTTCTTGTTGAAATGACACACTTCTATGTTTATATAGGTAGAGTTTCCATTATGTCTCTATTGCTTAAACATTTAAAACTCCATTAAGAGTACAAAAACTTATTCTCTCCACGTAATAGATCACACTAGTTTCTAAAATTGAATGAATTTCACTAGTGCTTAATAGACACATAACAATAATTTGTTTTTACCTATTAAACTTTATAATTGAGGTTACTAATTCAAAGTTGGGTTCCTATTATTAGTGTCAAATAGTAAGGGTATAAATTCATTCTACTTGTAATACTATTAACCAAATATCTTGGAATTCAATTTTCTTTTATAGTAATTATTTTCACTTGAGATTAAATCTCAAATATAATCACTTTAGGCTAATATGTTCAAACTTTTCATTTTGTATATCATTTAAATGCTCTAGATATCATTACCTCATTCTTATCATTTTAAAAAATAGTTGGTTTTTATTGTGGCTACAACTCTATACTCATAAATTTCAACCATTTTATTTTCATACTTTTATACATATTTAATACAATTATACTTCTAATACAATTAGATAAACTTAATGAATAAACCAAACCATTTTAATCCTTATAAGATTTTTAAGGACCTTTTTTATAATTTTACTTTAATAAGTATACTAAACTTATTAGTTTGCATAATTTGCTCATAAAATTATACTAAAATCTTACAAAACTATGGTGGCAAATTTTATTTCTTTTGATTCTTATCACCCCCACCATGTCCAAGTATGCATTTTTTTATTAAAGAATGTCTCATTCAATTATCAAGATATCATATATACTTAATCAAGTTACCATTTCATTTATCTTTTCACTATTTAGTGGTTTTTTTTTTTTTAAGTAAGAGGCCTCCAAATCCACCCTTAATGAAATATAACTAGCAAATA